GAGTGAGAGTGAGAGTGAGAGAGAGAGTGAGAGAGTGAGAGGAGAATGAGTGAATGTGTGTATACATGGGTATGTACAAGTGCATGTTGTATGTGTGTGTACATGTATGTTGTATGTATGTATAAGTTTAGGTATAAAGATGATAATAATTACTGAAGGCATTTAGAAGTTTAAGAAAAATGCTCCAACAAAACCATAAACATAATGAAAGCAAATAAAGAACAAGCAAATGCAAATTAAATACCACAACAGCAAAATAAAAAATAATCATTCAAATACTGATATATTTATCATGCAAGAATTAAAAAAGGCTTGCAACCCATGTTGTAAATTGGTCCATTTTAAATCATTTGGAGAAACACTTCTTCTTTCTACCCATAGCATTACACAAACCTAACTTTTCCTGTGAATATATGGCAAATAAATATTTATAAATGATCATAAATTCATTCTGAAACAAGGTTGGGTTTGAAAGATAAAAACAAAGGTCTTCAAATTCCATTTAAATCCACTTTGCTGGGGAGAGAAATAAGGGTCTAGGTTATAATAGAAAAACATTCCTTAATTCTTAGCCATTTAACACAACAGTGAATTGACTAAGCTAAAAAACATGACATGCTTCTATCATGTCACTCACACACTTTCACCTGTCTGATACCCAGCTTCCTCTAAGCACCAAGAATGGTGGTTTTTGCCAGACTGTGAGTAGTTTCTTGCATATGCTTATATTTTTTTCTTATTTGTGGACTGAGTGTTGGCACCAAATCATCAATTTTAGTTCCAAATTATTTACCAAAGATTTTCCTCTCCGAATATATGTAATTAAAACTGCAGAGCTACCCACCACTTGCTAGCTAACACCAAACCCCATCCACTGTGACTTTAGTTTCATAATTTTGTTCATAAACTAATGGCTCTAGAAGGGTTTAGTCATCTAACAGTCAATTACTGTGTCTATCTGATCTCCGCTGCATAACTCATTCCCTGGATTTTCGTCAAGAAAAGTTTTGATCTTTATCATTAACATTAATACTAAATGTTGTAACAATGATAATGCTAATAATAAAAATACACTATCTTTCTTCACAAAACTTCAAGAAATGGGGCAAACCAATGATGTTAGGTAAGCACAGTAATCAACTCCTTTTTGTCAAACCTATTCTGTTTCTATCTATGTGTAAACAAGACAAATAAAAGAACACTACGGTGGGAAGTGCACTTATCTGGCAGAAACCTATTGAGCCTTGTCCCATAAAAACTGAAAAACAAATGGTTTCTGGAAAGTATTTTTCTTTGATGATGCAAATACCGCCACTGGCCAAGTCAGGCAAGTTTTTTGGATAACACAAATAACTGGAATGACTGGCTAAAATATCAATCCAATTCTATCAGGAAAATGTAATGTTCACTGTAGTATTTTTTTTGCAAAATGTATCTACACACAGATTGCTTCACAAGTGCTCAGTCACCAAGGTATCAATTAGTAGTCTATGTGACCTCCCCTGATTTCCCTCTTCTTTCAGTTTTCAAGAACTCCCCCCCCCCCCAATGCTATGAAAATTGATATTGTTATCATTATTATTGACATCATAATTATAACAGTGTTATCAAAAATACTAATGGCAATATACAATAAAAAATATTTCCAAAAATCAAGGAAAAGGGTAAACAAGTGAGACAGGTAGAATTACAAACTGACTCTTTGTTGACTATGTCCTTGTGGAGTCATCTGAGTGTAAATGCAATTAATAAACTGAATTCAAGGTAGACATGGCATGTACATAAGTGTCATCCCTGGTGGCATAAATTTACAGAAACAATGCTATACTGTTGACTTGCACATTTTGAAAGATAATGATAAACATGTTCATGTTTGAGGTAAAAAAAAAAAAAAAAAAAAAAAAAAAAAAAAAAAAATCCTCCTAACAGTTTAAAAAACTATCAAAATGCAATGATCCAGTAAAAATATATTCAAATATAAATTTTCATAATGAAATGTATGTCTTTACTCAAGAGTATGATGGGAATAGATACCCTTTCATATGTGCTGTATTTCTAGTCATTATGTAAACTCCATGCCTAAGGATACAGTAAAAATATCCATGAACCTATAGAATACTATTCAGTCGCTATAAATTCTCATACACATGCAGTTGAGGTGACTACTCTTAATATTAGCTCAGCATTGTTTTAACTGTTAATATAATTTCTGCTTCAAATACGTGGGGGGGGAAAGCTGCTTAACCCCTATGATCCGGATGATGTTACGGTCCCATCATGAAAAAATCTGGGTTGAGGGCCAGGTGATGTGAACATGCCATCATGAGGCAAAATGGCCGGGGGCTGGGTGATGTAAACTTGCTGTCATGAGTGAAGGCCAGGGTGACAGAAAAGACTCACCACGAGTGCACAAATCTCTTGGAGTGTGATTTGACTCATTTGGCGCTTAGAAGGGGGTTTTCCCATTGATAAATGAATGTGGAATGTAACGTGTGTAAGCCATGACTGGAAGATAGCTGGCTCCAGGGAGGATGCCATTTCCATGCTTCGCACTATATTCCTGGTCGCTGTGACCAGAGGCGCAGGTTGTATTATATAAAATTGAAAAATGCAAAAAAAATTAAATATATGACACAAATACCCAAATGTTCCATATATTTTTTTCCATGAATTATTTACTACATAGAGAGATGATATGGAGTTTGTGCAAGGTAAATAAGCTATTACCATTTGTATAGAGTAAATCAAAAGACAAATATGGACATTGGAAAATGGCAATAAAGCTGAAAAAGTCTACACAAAATAACTTTGCAAAGGGGAGGCACAGATTCTTATCACTGCTCATAGGTGTTCGCGTGAGCCGCACACCCGGAATGTTGGCAACTTACGTAACCCACCACCCATATTTTCAGCACCGTGATTTCCGTGACGCAACCAGATCCAATGGGTTAACTTCCGACATAGAATAAAAATTCAGCAGAGATATCACTCTTCTCATGTGCAAAGTAAACAGCACACCACATGCACTTATTAGCAAAAGAAGTCACCCAGGGGCAAAAATACTGTGGTTCCTACTGTTATTGTCCTGAAAGCACAATAATCCAATGACTGCATGCCTCCCTCCCACCCAAATATATCCTGCTAATATAAAAAAAAATTGTGAAGATAAAGTTTACTATACATATCTGATAGTCGCATCAATACCAGTGGATGATTTCAAGAGCGTGTTACTTTCGGCAAGCTGGGTTTGAATAAATGTAATTTCACTGTCCAAACATTATTTCTACACACTAGTGTTCTGGTACTTATTATGATAGGAATAATTGTATTTCTTTACTTCTTACTTGGTCTGCCTGATGACTATTTTTACATGTTGCAGATTAAAATAAATGTAAATGTTTTAGTGTTAGCAATGTTAATGCATTCTACCATATTCTCCCCCTTTAAAGCCCAAATATTGCATGCGGCAATTCCTCTTGACACCACAAAGTGCGTTCACCGACCCGCTCCTTAAACAAATAACAATCTCAATTTAGGTTTAATGTATACAATAAGAACAATATACAAAAATCAGAGCAAACAATTCTTATCATTATATTTGTACTCAAAATTAATAAATTCAGTATGCTCTGTAAATGATAAACATATTCTGACAGTAAAAAAACAATTTCTAGCCTACCATGTGCAAACATTCTCGACATACCTGTTTGTTGGGGAAGCACTGAATGCAGCGAGTCTGGTATTTGAGAGAAGATTCTCGGCGCTGTTGAGCAAAGCCCATGTTCCTCAGATCCCAAACCATTACTTTTCTATTCGATGTCCCGACTACCAACTTTTCTCCACCAAGGCCCATGGTGTAAACCTGAATATCAAGATGAAACAATAAATTCTGGAAGCCTGTACTTAATAGCTTTTTCTAGCACTGATCACAGGATGAGAGTGAAATGAATGGAAAAAAGGAAAACACAATAATGACTCATGGCATGATTCACAATAAAATCAAATCAATAAAACAAAGAAATAAACCAAGAAAACATGAAGAGAGAACAAGAGGAATTAGGCAAAAATCTGCTGATCCCGATTCTCACACTAACCTTATTTGGCTGTTGGAAAGTGCCAGCTTCCCGTGGTCCACGAGGATCCCAGAGTTTGATGTTGGAATCCCAAGCTCCTGTGATCACAACATTTACTTCTGGGCAAAATTCCACACACCTATACAAGAAAAGGATATTAATTTTTTTTCTCTTTATTTATAGCTATTAAGGGGCTATTTCTAATGAAAAACTCATTACCCCTACATAATTAGTACTTCGCTCGTGACTAAACATTTACCACTTGTTTCACGGCAGAATGACTTAGTTAGACGATGTGGAAGAAGAGCAGACTGGATTAAAAAGAAAAATAATCAAAATAAAATATTACACATCTAACAGGTACATGCGCACATATGCACATGCACGTGCAAGTACATGTACCTTTACATTAATATACATGCGTATACACATGTAAACGAATATACACTCAAGAAATCATTAATAAAAGAGGTCTAATACAAGAAACAACTAATTTCATATGACAGTCATTTTCTCTTGGGTCAGGATTTGCCCCGTTTCACAGGAGTCATGGGTAAGAAAGTGCATTTGAAAGAAATGATAGCAGTTTCTATGGTAATAAAATGGTAAAGACTCATAAAAAAATAATAATAATAATAAAAAATAAACTTCAAATATCCAAATTTTTGTTTGTTTTTATTTCTTTCTTTTTTTGAGCTTCGGTTGATCCCTTGTTCAAGAGTTGTTAACTGATTAAATTTTTGAATGTATCTTTGTAAACCTCTTACATATGCGCAAGATTTTTAGAATTTGCTTCATTTTATTTACACAAATATTCGGAAAAAAAAACTTTTTTTTTTGCAGGGGACATTGCCCCCCACGTGGGTACCCCCATTAATTTGGTATCAAAAGATGCAGAATATTAATATACATAAAATCCCAAAAAGTCACGAAAATCCATAAGCCCCTCCCCCTTCCCTTTTTTTTTTTTTTTTTTTAGAAATATTTATTTATGCAACCCCCAAACCTCCTAACTCCCCTCTCCCCACATTTAGGGACAATCCCCTCAATCAAGTTTTTATGTTTAATTTCATTCTCAACTTATCACAACTTATTCATGAACCTCATTGATAATAGTATATTTAAAAGTCAGTAAGAATGCTAAACAAATTTCTGAAGAAGGTAAAAGAGAAAATTGCTTACAAGAAACAGTTCTGAAAATAGACGCAAACAAATAGATGAAAGAGAAAACAGTATTGTACCTGATTGGAGCATCATGAGAGCCAACCACAGACTCTGTGTTTGTGTTGAGATCAAAGGTCTTGAGCTGACCATCTAAGCCTCCACTGTATGCATGGACAGCATCCTGAAAAAATGGGGAAGTATATCACCATAAATGGACCAAAATGCCACAGCAAGCACATTTCCAGCTATTACATGATTTGATGGGCTTTTAACATCAGTATTTATTGAGTAGCCTTAGTTACACATATAAATAGTATTATAAATATATGCCTAAACTGATAAAAAACATTTCTATGCATTTATTATTCACTAAGTTCACTCTTCAAGATGATTGGGGGGAGGGAGGGTTGAGGGATAAAATAGAACAATATATGGATAAGCTAGAATTCTAATAGTAAAGAATTCAAGATATAAATCTAGATGTAGTAATTAGAGGGAATCAATCAATTCTAGACAAGTGTCAACAGAGTATTAACCTGCACACAATTGTATTTCTGATGAAGATATAATCGAATTCTGTCAAATACATCTCTTGTATTTACACTAAAAATGTTCCTCGGAAATTGCATGTTCTATATTACTGCTTTTGTAATCATTATCATTGTACCTAACTCTAGATATCAATTGTTTACGAATATTCTACCAACATACCTTTGTATCACAAAGCTTTTAGTCTTGTAAACACCATAATGCTTTTCTAACATACCACTGTACATACGGTATCCCTTATTTCTTCATCATGAAACCATCATGTGACCATATGATTCTAAATTTGTGTTCATTCATATCTTTTATGTTTTCCATTATGATATGTTTCAAAACGTCAATTCCTGTGCCACTGCAACAGACCGCTCTCCCTCGTGGGCTTGACAGAACACGCTCCTCCCTTGGTGTCTCTGCCTTTCCCTTCTGTACCAGCTACCAGTAACAAATTTGTAAACCTGCGACAATTTTAACTCCAGCACCACCTTCATGAGAACCTACCAGTGCCTTTCCACCTCATTCCCCTTCCAGGCACTTTACCTTTCCATATCACAGTTCCTTCTAAGTGTATGATCGTCTTTTTACTATGTGTATGTCTATACACTTACAAATACAAAAAGGAAAGAGGAAGAACTGGATGGGAGAAGAAACCACACAGACAGACACATGGAGTTAATATAGGGAAAGGGAGGAGGGAATAGCCCTCTCTGTGGTCTTGAGGCTGTGAGAAAGATGGCAAACAGTACTAGATATACCTGTTTACCCTTATTTCATCCCCTTTACAGCAAAATAAAGGCAAGAAATCATATAGCTAGCCTTTAAAAGCTGACTTTCTATTGAGAAAAATTGGTTGGAAGGGGTGACTTACTTATTACCTTGGTCTTTACGAGTTAAAATTTAAGGCACTTCAATACAACATACCTGGAAGCAGCAATCCAAAACAGGGCCTGTATGCTGATACTGTAACCGCATGTTATTATTGACGACATCATAAAGGCGAACACTTTTGTCCCAAGATGCTACTAGAAGGAACTGTGAAGATGAAGGGCCAAACTTGACACTCTGAATACAGTCACTCGGGGTATTCTTCAACCGAAATTCCATGCGAGATTCACTCATTTTGCTGGAAAGAAAACAACATTTGAGAGAAAACACCTCTGTTAACTTCCAAGGATCAATTTTTACCATAACATTTACAAACACCCCCATTCCCTTGGTAGCCCCTTGTCTCTGTGAAACGTAGGCCCCACTTCTTTTCTATTTGTGAATTAACATAGTATAATGTATAAAATTGTATAAAATAAAATAAGTATAAAATTGGCATTACCATTATATATGTCATATAAACTCACTCACTTCCTCTCTCTCTAATGGATAGGCCGGTTTCTTGCATATCTGTCGTAAGGATATGTTATAATGGTGCAGAAGCAACAGGGGTAAATGGAGTGGGTATCTGTTGTTTTGCAATGGTGACTCTGTCATCACTCCCTCCCTCTCTCACTCTTTCCCTTTCGTGTATTTCACCTTCCCTCTTTCACTCCTCTTTCCAACTCATTTTCTATAAACAATTACCAAAATCACACCTTTCTTCAGTTCTGCCGATTGTGTCTGAAATGCCAGGTATCTAATCTGTACTATTTTTGACACTAGGGACACCTGATGGGCTCTAATATTATGCTTATATTATGCTTTAAAAGGTACTGTCTTTCCTTTGCTTGGCCATTACATTGTTTAAATGAAGGTCCATAATCAGCATAAAAAACTCCTAACAGAAGGAATGAAGATTAGCTGAACTGTTATAAAAATGACATTAATGATTACAAAGTCATTAACACAGCTGACATATCACAGAATTGAGTTATATAGTCCATATAGGACTTGATATCACAAAACTTTTTTTTTTTTTTCTTGGCAAGGCTAAAATATGAATTATAGGAATATCCTAATGCCAGAATGTACTCACTCTTGCCACTTTCATGCTATTATCTATATAATAGAGAATATAGTATTATCTTTGAAATTCAGGATCCATGCATCTCCTACATATTTTTCAAACTTTAAAAAATAACTAACAGTCAATCTATCAATTTAAAGAGAACTTTGTTAAATTAGAGATCAAAAATTAAATATTCCCTTATTTTGTATATATATATATATGCAAATTGCTCACTAGTATATATATATATATATATATATATATATATATATATATATATATATATATATATATATATATATATATATATATTATATATGCAAATTGCTCACTCCTCTTTTTCTATACCATGTATCTTTCCTTCTCTTATTCTTTCGCTCTCTCTCCCTTTCACTGTCTCCTTTTCTCTTCCTCGCATCCTTTATCAACTCTGCCTCTCTCTCATCCTAACAACTAGTACCGTCAACCTCGTCTGCGATTTTATCTATTAGCCAAAAACCGATCCAAAGCCTCATCCATTCTTAAAATTAAAATAAATTCGTGGCGAAGGGCACAGGAGGAGAAAACAGAGCAGAAGAAGAGGAGAGAAAGACGAGAGGGAAAGGGAAGACAAATTTCAAAATCTCACAACAGCTCAATAATAACACGAGATCTGATCAGCCAATCTTCTGGTTATAAATGAAGCACTAAAACTAACACCAACTCCCTCTACTTACTAACACATATCTTCCACGGTCACAAAACACGACGAAGGCAAATAAAATAGCTCGCTTACCCGATTTCAGACTTGAAAACACACGAAGGAAAAGGAAGAAAACAAAACTGTTAATTCAAAGCCGGGATCAGCTGTGGACTGCGCTGTGCTGCCATCTGTCGGCCGCACTACGAACTTCCGCGTTTGAGTTGTTGTTGATAATCTATTTATGTTGTTTTTTCATGCTGTTGTTGTTGAGTCTATTTATGTTGCTTTTAACGTTGTTGTTGTTGATAAGCTATTATGTTGCTTTTTATGTTGTTGATAATCTATTTATGTTGCTTTGTATGTTGTTGATAATCTATTCATGTTGTTATTTATGTTGTTAATCTATTTTTGTTGCTTTTTATGTTGTTGTTGATAATCTATTTATGTTGCCTTTTATGTTGTTGATAATCTATACATGTTGCTTTTTAAGTTATTGTTGATAATCTATTTATGTTATTTTTTATGTTATTACTGCTGGTGTTGCTATTGTTGATATGGTTGTTGTTGCTGTCGTTAATGTGGTTGTTATTGGTGTTGGTGTATATTTTACTAATGCTAACGTCACATTTTTTTTACCTTTTTATTATTTTTTTCGTTTTTCCACCAATCAATATTCTTTTTTCCAACAAATAGTACTGTACATCTTTTTATTTTTCAGCTACTTTATATTCTCAAACTAATAAAACATCAATTATCTTTATTTTCTATTACGTCTTGCATCTATTATTTATCACGTTTGTCCATAATTTTGCCATTGCTATTAATTGGATATTGCAATTTTTATACCATTGTCAGCGACAATTGGTTTGTGTTGTTTTATTTCTATTATGATTATTCTTCTTGTTGTTAATGTTGTTGTCGATGATGACACTGTTATAGTAACTGCTATCATTATCATTATTATTTTGATATTACTTTTAGTATTATAATAATAGATATTATATATTAATTGAGATTAATGTATATTATTATTATCACTATCATTATCGTCATTTTCATCACTATTATTATTATTATTATCATTCTTATTATCATTATCATAATTATTGTTATTATCACTATCATTATTCTCATCATGATTACCATTATTATTATCATAGACATCCTTATTATCATCATGATTAGCATTATTATTATCAGATGTGCTCATAATGATATCAAAATATCATCATGATTATTTTTGTTTGTGTTATTTTCATCATCATCACCAGTTCTAGATAGTCATAGAATATTTTCATTACTGTTATTTCCCGTATGGCTGTTGTCTTTATCTTTATTATCATGACCATTGTTATATTGTTATTTTCGTCATCATTATCATCAATATAATTAATGTCATCATTATCATCGTTATTATTCTTATCATCATCGTTACCATAATTATGTGTTGTATAAACGTGATAAGTGTTCTTATTATCATCATAAACATTTTCATTACTGGCATCACATTAATGTCACAACACGCCATTACGATACGAATTTAACCTGCGTTTAATATCATTTAGGTTCTATTTTAGTTCTATATTAGAAATTCTTAAAGCAGTGTATTTTTTCACACTTCGACTTTGCGGATAGTGACATTATAATCTATATACAACTTTGATGTTCTTTTTCTCTTTCCATCATTTTTCTCACCGAACGAATTTCTATCCAAAGTGTGCGTAGTCTCAAGAATACGGACTATTACAACGAATTCTCAGAAACTCTGTGAAAACTTCGCTCTGTCCGCTATGAAAATGGTATCAGCGAGAAACGACAGAATGGCATTATACGTTTGGCGCGCAAGGCGTTCCCTTGGGATGTGCCCTCACGTCCTCATTTCTGAGATCATATTTTAAAAATATGATTTTCGTGCTCCTAGAAAGACTTACCTGCTAACTTTAATGCGGATTCATTGTTGTTCTTTATCTACACTCACGGTATTCTGATAAAATTTGGGCATTACGACAAGATCTTCGTTCTCCTTCATATACGGAGAAAATACCCTCGTTGCCCATTCACAAGCAAGAATACAAGTACTCTGAATATTCTCTTACTTCAAAAATAAAGGTTAGCATCATTTAAGAAATCTGACGATCGCTAGTAAAGAACGATTGATGATTTAAGAAACCAATGGGACAAATTGCAATGGTGACTAAGCCTTGAGTTGCCACATCGTTAATTTTCCAATCAACTTATTGATGGGAATGCATTTAATCAAACAACTTCACAACATACACAACGGCAATTCCCAAGTAAAAATAAAAATAGAAGAGGAAGTATTTGGCACAATTTCTTTTTCAAAACGACACAGCGTCGAAAACGTACACTGCTTGCCGGATTTATTTATTTATTTTTTCCCTTTTCTTAATACACGAGGCCTTGAGTAAATTTCTCGGTACTCATGTCCCTTGCGCCATTCCTGCACCGGATGCTACTTGCAGCTATGAATGGGTTACGTGGTACAGTTGATTGTACCAGCATTTTCCCACGAAATAGGTCTACATATCATGACACGGATAATGTTTTGATCAGCTGGTTGCAATATGTTGATTTCCAAATACTTTCGTGGAAACTAACACGGATAAGCGCAATTATTATGCACTTCTTTACATTGATATTCATGACAGTTTCAAGGAGTGATCTCTTTAAACATAGAGCAAGAGAAGTGTATTATGTCCAGCATCATTTCACACGGGAACCCCAGAATCACCGAGTTTTATCCCGGTTTTGGTGACGTCAGATGATTGCACCGAAAAATTCCACGGATATACGCAATTCTTTACGTCTTCAGTAATGCTTGATAAGAATTTGGTGATGTTCATATTTGAGTGTCATGATAAGAAGATAATGATGATGATGATGATGATGGTGTGGTGATGATAATGATTGGGATGATGATGGTGGTAAGGATAACAATAATAATAATGATGATACTAATAATTGATAACAGCAACAGCATTAATAATAGTAATGGATAAAAAATTATAATCATAACTATAGTAATGACAACAAAAACTATTTCAATAGTGGTAATGTTCATAATGCTTGTAATGATGATGATGATACTAATTATAGTAATAGTGACGAGGAGGATGTTGATAATGATCATAATAACACTAATAATGATAATAGCAACAACAGCTAAAAACAATAATAGTGATAAAGATAAGAAAAACATGAGCTTACATCCACGTGTGAATATGTATATGTGGTCATTTATATCTGTATGAACAAAACAGATGAGTGACACTCAACTCAGGTTAAATGAAAAAAAATAACATCCGCGGGAAATGTTGACGTAGATTACATGAAGGATATAAAAAAAAACATACAAATTTCTCTGCATCTTTATATCTAAGCGCTCCTTTGCTGAGGCTGTTCTCACTCCTACAGCCAGCCACTACATTTTAATCATGTTTTGGACTTAAAATAATTCTCTCTACCTAGCCGAAAAGAGCATTTTGTTTGTACATATAAAAAATAACACCTTGAGATATCCAATCACTCGCAGTTTGATTTGCCTTTGTCCATTAACATTATTTGTAGCTGTCTACTACCAATCTTTTCCCAAATAAATTGATTTACTGTGAACACGTGCGCCCAACTCTCTTTTCCCGTTTTCTCTCTCTCTCTCTCTCTCTCTCTCTCTCTCTCTCTCTCTCTCTCTCTCTCTCTCTCTCTTCTCTCTCTCTCTCTCTCTCTCTCTCTCTCTCTCTCTCTCTCTCTCTTCACGCCACTGAGCTTTTACACCGCTAATCTATTTACCACTAGGCTTACCCACTAATGCCACTAAAACGTACCCACTTTACCTACTAACCTACACCCCAGCTCACTTAATTTCTAATAATGTCAGTAAAGTTGTCATCCTTTTTATTTTGGAGTTGTTTATGCTCGCACAAACCACCTTTTGGCCACTGTTCCCGATGGTTTGTGGGTCATCGTCTGGAAAAAAAAGAAAAAAGAAAATTAGAAGTGGTACAGAGTTGTGGATATTCTAGTTTTGAACATTAATCCATTCGGGTGTTTGTGTATATTAGTATACGTATATACGTTCTCACTCTCTCTCTCTCTCTCTCATGAAATTGATTAGTTAATTAATATATTCATTTAGTATTGTCATTGTTATTATTATCATTATTACCATAATCATTATTATTCTCATCATTATTCTAATTACTCTTCATCATTATTGTCATTATCATTATACTCGTCATCATTATTGTCATTATCATTATACTCATCATCATTATCTTTACTATTCTCATCATCCTTATCATCCTTACAAATATCCCTATCCTTTTTGCTTTGCCAATCAAAATTACTTCCTTTGCGAAAGCCTCAGCACCACTTCGACCTTACCTGCACCATCCCTTCGTCAGTGAAAAGCCTCTCGATTAGTATAGCCTTGTCATTCGCCAAGTCCACGGGCGTTTGCAACATCTTATCGCCGTCTAGGGTGAACACAGACTGGAAAGTGGGGAGAGTGAGGGTGAGGAATTATGAGGAGTGAGGGTGAGGAGTTATGAGGGTGAGGAATTATGAGGAGTGAGGGTGAGGGATTATGAGGAGTGAGGGTGAGGAGTGAGGGTGAGGGATTATGAGGAGTGAGGGTGAGGGATTATGAGGAGTGAGGGTGAGGGATTATGAGGAGTGAGGGTGAGGGTGTGGGGTTATGGGGAATGAGGGTGAAGAATTATGTTGAGTAAGGATGAATAATAATGAGAAAGGATGATCAATTATGAGTGAGGGTGAGTCATTATGGGGAGTGAGGATGAGTCATTATGGGGAGTGAGGATGAGTCATTATGAGGAGTGAGGATGAGTATTTGTGAGGAGTGAAAATGAGTCATTATGAATGAGGAATAATCATGAGGAATGACGATGAGTCTCTGAGGACTGAGGATGAATGATTATGAGGAGTGAGAATGAGTCTTTATGAGGGGGAAAAATAATTTCAGATGGAGTGATGAATTATAACCTTTATCAAGTTATTGCTATTCTGCCATTCGCTCAGTGTAGTACAGTACCAATTTTTGCGAATTGATTTGATACCTATAATGTGATTATAATGATAGTAATTATGATGGCCTTTTATATAAAGATCATAAAGGTAATAATGGTAATCGTTATTATTATACTGATCATAATGACAAAGGGCGATAGAAATATCATTAACCATAAAATAGCCATCATAATGATTACTATTACCAATAATGATAATAACCAAAGGCAAATATGAATGAATGAAAATATCTAAATTATGTCTATTAAGAATGGCACTGGCACTAGGACAAGGCAGTGAATGGACCTGGCGTGAGTAGCGTAGAGGAGAGTAGTAGTTTAAGCAACAGTAATCCGAACACAATCGTTTCTGGCGCACACGTGAGACAGACTTTCCCATGCACAGTGTGTTACTCGCAACCTCTTCTCTGCTGTACTTCTACTCTTCTTGTTCCCTGCTTTTTTTTCTTCCGTTCCTCCCCATTCCTTCTGTACTTCTCCTTTCCTGTATTCTTCTTCTCTCTTTTTCTCATTTCTCTTTCATCTCCTTTTCTCTTAACTAAAGTTTCCTTGATTCCTTCTCATGTCCTCTCTCTTTCTTTCTCTATGTATCTATCTCAGTCTCCCCCCCCCTCTCTCTCTCTCTCTCTCTCTCTCTCTCCTCTCTCTCTCTCTCTCTCTCTCTCTCTCTCTCTCTCTCTCTCTCTCTCTCTCGCTCTCGCTCTCGCTCTCGCTCTCTCTTTCTCATAAAAATACTCTCAATCCCACCCCATCCACGCCTTTCATAACCTCTTTCATAACGTCTTTCCCCTTTCTCTCCATCCCCTCCCCAACCCACATTTCTTTCTTTATCTCTGTCTACCTTCTCTCCCCATCCTCAACCCCTAACCCCCGACCCTATCTCCCCATCCCCTTCCCTCAACTCCCTTATTCCATTCTCTCTCTCCTCTCTCTCTCTCTCTCTCTCTCTCTCTCTCTCTCTCTCTCTCTCTCTCTCTCTCTCTCTCTCTCCCTCCCTCCCTCCCTCCCTCCCTCCCTCCTCTCCTCCTCTCTCTCTCTCTCTCTCTCTCTCTCTCCTTCCTCCTTCCTTCTTCCTCCCTCCCTCCCTCCCTCCCTCCCTCCCTCCCTCCCCTCCTCCCTCCCTCCCTCCTCCTCCTCCTCCTCCCCTCCCTCCCTCCTTCCCTTCCTCCCTCCCTCTCCTTCCTGACCTCAATCAACCCTTCCGGCCCGTCCACAGGCACGCTCTGCCCCATCTTGAAATTCCACGTGAGGGTCTTGATGGGCAGCGTGGTGGTGATGGTCCAGCTGTCGTCGTTCACGTTAATGTCTACCGTCGGCTTGCTCCTCGACGCCAGTTTTCGGATGAAGAAGTTCATGCCTTGTAGGAAAGGAAGGAGAAAATATATGGGTGTGCATGTAGGGCTGCGTAGTATATAGGATTAAACCCTACAGTGTGATTCTTGAATGACAAACTCTCTCTATGAATCTTGATAACTCTACATGAATCTTATGACTCACCATGGATCCCATAACTCTCTATGAATCTTGATAACTCCCCAT